ATATTCACCTCCTAGAACTCAGCTTTACGTGGAGCTGCTAAGCCCTAAAAGCTTGAAGGATATTGATAGATGACTGCCTCAGGGCTAAAAAATGCTGATTTTTTTCTGGAAGCACAGTTACTTCCATGGTACAAAATATTTGCCTTGTTAGATTTTTCTAATATTCAGTTGTTGTACCTTAATTCAGAAAAGATACACAAAACACAGCATAATTATTCCAGCAGGGATCAGAGTATTTCTTTATAGCTCTACTTTATTCATTCTCCCTGATTTCATCTGTTCAACAGGTTGAAAATAAAATGTAATGTCCTTGCCAAGTTCATCCTTTAGCCATTATTCCCACGTGCACTGCATCTTCCCTGTCTTCTCTAACACACATGCAGTGTTCACTGTCTTCAGGATACACACAGACACATGGAGTTTACGGGAGTCTATCCTAAAATCAGTGAGTCAGGTCAAGTTTGCAATTGAAATTAATTGGTAGTATCCTTTGACTATGCCCTCACTGAGAGGGGATGAAGTAATGACTGGTAGGCAGTGCATTCTCTATATATTGAGTTGCGTATGTTGTTCGAATGACCTTCTTTGTACCATCCTTATCAAACACCTACTTTTGTTTGACAATCCCAGTAATTAAATGCACAGGGATATATTCAGCTCCACGTTCTGGATTATGTGATTCCAGTGAGCAGCAGCTAATATTTGTCAGCCACTGCATACTGCCACTTTATTCCTTTCTCAGACAATGGCAAGGGCGACTACAGTAACAGTGAGTATTTTATCCTATCATACACTGCATTCTTCTCAAAAGGGACTGATAGACATAAGAGGATGCAATAGGGTTTTTGCTTTGTTAAATGTGCAAGCATGTACTTGCCTTTTCTCCTGTGCATACCCACAGATTCAGGCACGTAAGCTCAGTAATTCTGAACTCCACTGAATCACAGGGCTATGTACATAGATTATGATAGTTGTGAAAATCCAAGCCACAAAAATGGATTAATATGCTCAGTATCTTAATCATGTTTAATATCCATTTCAGGGACATTTCAAATATTTTTTCTCCCTGAGAAATCATAACTGCCATGTCTTCTGGTAATAACTGTGATGGACAGTGGATGGAATGAGATGATATAAAAAGGGAAATCAATTTTTGTTCCTTTCTATGTAAAAATTGCAAAACAAACCTTTGTTATTTTCTTTATGCAGATGCTATGCTAATTTTACAGATCAAATACTTATAATCCACTTTGCATCTTTACAAATGTCTGATTTGTAATTGCAGGAGAAGTACTTGAAATTTAAAACATAAGCCACACAAGAGGAGGGAAATCTCCAACCTATGGACAAGCAAAGTGGATTCCCTAAAGGAGACAATTCTACATAGAAATGCAAATATTTCAAACAGCAGTGAGCACAGATGATTGCCTCACTGCAGCACTAGTTCCAGAAGCAGACAGTATGTATGTAGAGTCACAAACATGCAGAGTGACACATTTATTGATTTTTTTTTTTAACCAACATTCACTTTTCACTATTATTTATTTTCTTCATACAAAAGGCATCAGCATTTTTCTGTTTTAGCAACTATACCTTCCCCTTCAAGGACTACAAGAAATGCTGATGTGCTAGTTTTCACTGCAGAGAGCTAGGACACTGGATGTTTCAGATGGATGTTGGATTTTGCCATTCTGCAAGTTTTAGAAATTTCACTTATAGGTTCCACTCCAATTGAATTGCATAAAGCTCACAGTTCTTCAACAACTGTAAATTAAAATAGTCTATCAAAAAAGATCAAGTTCAAATTAATACAAATTAATATGTGAAGATTTTCGCCACCATCTGAATTTCTCTCGATTCACTGCGTTTTTGTTACTGACTGTGGCAAGAGCACATCCATCTGCTAACTCACATGAGAGTTACAATTTGTCAAACATGCCTTATGTTTACAAAACATGGATTTTTTATTTTTATTTTTTTAATCCTTTGAGCAAGTCTGGTTTACTTCTTTAAAACATGCCACACTCCTTCTGCTTCATTTGTCTTAGTCAAACGGGCACAGACAAGAGCATAGGAGGGAAGAAGGGCAGGGTGTCCATAGAACTGCGGACAGCAGTTACTTCAAGGTCACTAGACAGCAAAAGACATCTGTGCATCTGAACTTCATCTCCCTGTGCCCATAAGGTGCTTTAAGAGCTGTATCTTAAAAGAGAGGCAAAATAAGCACTAACTCTAGCCATAAAACCTTACCTTCATTTTTCCTCCTGCTTCTAAAAAAGCTTTCTATCTTTACTGAGTAAGTTAACACAGCATAAAGATTAGCTAATAATATTTTAATTTCATGAAGAAACTCATACACGTGTACATACACATTTCACAGTGACTTCATTTGTTAGAAAGCCTTTGTTTCACTTATGTGCACCTAAATGCAGAAAAAAGGTCACCATGAAGAACGGCAAACTACTCAAACATCAGCTCTTTGTATGACTTCCAGTACCAGTAGCAGCTAGTCTCTGTCCCAGTCAGAGCTAGTGACCCAGCACTGCTATGTAAGCATGACCTGGATTCCATTGTTCCTTGTCCCATCAAAGGAAACTGTCATCCAAGCTCTAAATGCTAACTCTTTATTACTATCAATGCATAAGAATATGGGAAGGGAGATTAAGAAACAAAACCCAGGTATATCCTGCACTATACACTTGTGACTACGAACAGGTAATTACAAAATAAACACAGTTGATCTCAAACTCCATAAGAGGAACTAAGCAGAGACTCCCCCTTAACATACATTCTTCTTTTCTGTACAGCAGCTTTTCAGCTTGTGGCTACTCTACAAGAGCTCAGCTTTCCATACCAATTCCTCCAAACCTGAAGGTCATGCTGCTGTTCAGCAGAACAAAAAGAAAGGCTACCCAAATCCAAACAATACTTTACTGCGAAACCAACTCCACTTCCAAAGCATGCAACTGTAACAAAAGATTGTACAATAAAAGAAGGTGCCCAGTGGCAGAAGTGAGAGCAGAATTTAAATCTGACTTCTGATACACTTGCTACATTCACAGATCATCTCCAAATTTGAATGTAAAAACACAGTCAGAAAAATAACTTTTCAAAACCAGGACATTCAGGCACACAAAGCTGGTGTTCTATAAATCCTCAGCTTCAGAAGAATCATAGTACCAGACATTTAAAGGTAACTCCTGCTCATGTTCCTCATTACCAGAGTAGACATTATGTGCCTGCTTCACAGCAGTGACACCTACCATCTTTCCTTCATTTCATCTGCTGAAGTTCAACTGGTATGCCTATTCCTGGGTCTCATCAGTGTGTGCTACAGATATTGCTAAATAAGTTGGCAAAAAATACTAATTATGCAAGTTCATCCCTGGTCTCATTTGTTTGGAACAGATAGACCTTCTGTATTTCTTTCAAGCTGCATCTCTCAGCGGGTGTTCAGTGCATCATCTTCCTGGAGTCTGGGGGCAGATTATTCTTAACATTTCTGCCACAATCTTACAGCTTACAAACACTTGAAAAAAAACAAACTATTGGTTTCTTTAGCCCCTTGCATTTGCCCACTTGTATCTGCAATAGAGATATAAGGATATGACCAGTAGTATTTAGCTTAATGTCAAAGAAAGGAAAAGATCTCCAAATAGTGCCTGGTTACTGTAATTTTCTACTGTTAGTATTTGAACAGTCAGTAAATATACTACAAATGGTTACCAACTAAGTCATCACAGAATCATAGAATCATTTGAGTTGGAAGAGACCTTTATGGGACATCTGGTCCAACTCACCTGCAATGAACAGGGACATCTGCAGCTTGATCGTGGTACTCAGACTTCCTAGAGTCCTCCTGCATAAAACTGTCTTCTAGTCAGTCATCTTAACTCTCAGCTACTGATGTGGAATTAATAAATCTCGAATGAAAACAATCACTTTCCCTTTCCACAGCATTATAAATTCTTGCCATTTATCACAGCGAGGGTCAAAACTGAGGAAGCTGTTCAAGATAAAAGAGATCTACAGATGTCTGCCTTCTGTGCATCTGTGAAAAACACATATCTCCATACATATCAAATTTGCTCACTTCAGAGCAGCAGGGAGGGTATGGAGGTAAATGTTTTCCATCAGGTTCATACCATGGCATGTTTTTGCACTAAAAGATCAAGCTGTGCTTTTCTTCCTGTTACTTGTACTGCTATCAGTCAAAGGTCCCATAAAGTAAATGTGTTCTGCTTCTTCCTCCTAATGCAGATCAGGCCTTCAGTGGGAATGAAGGATCCCAGTTTCATTTAGGAAGTATATTTGTGTGTTACTTAAAGCACACATCAAGGACAACAGTTGTTTGACAGTCCTTTATACTGAAATTTCACTAACATCATATAAACTCTAAATACAGTTTAATAAAGGGATTGGGGCATTCATAATCCCCAGGGTCTGTTTCTCTGACTGCACCCTCTGAATATACAAACTATTGCTATCAGCTGAATTTACCCAAAATGTTGACCTTACAGGATGAAGCCATCTACAGGAGTGTATTGGGTTCTTGGCTTCATCTTTGCAAAACTATATAAATACTAGAACACAAGTTGGACCTGAATCCTCAAAACCAATTAGGTTTACTAGCATGGTCATTTGATCTTCAGTTTTAGAAGTAATAGAACATATCACAGTTGGTGATAAAACAACTTCTTCCTTTGTTGAACTGACTAAACCTCTGCATTTCAAATGATACTAAAATAAAAGCTTTTTGATTAATCCAAGACATTAATGATACAATTCCTAAATGAAACTTCTCCAGAAATGCTTTGCAATTAAACTTCAAAGTCGGAAAAAAATGAAAATTTTACATTTATAATAGGAAATGTGAAGAAAAACTGTAAAAGCACTCATTCTCTCTGCCATGCCACATGTTTTCTAGCAACGTCATCCAGCAGCAGATCTCTGTGTTCTGTCCAGGCTTCAGGGAGTGGGAGGCAGCCAGAAGAGTTTACCTGTCAAAAGAAGGCTTCTCTCCACAGTCAAACGCATCCTGCAGCTCCTTGACAAGATTAGCCTGCCCAGGCAGTCGGAAGAGGCCTTCTTCCTTCAGCCCCCGCTGTCGGATGAAATCCACGCACTGCTCCACCAGCATGGGAGCCAGGCGGTTCCCATATCGCTTCTCATATCGGACGGTGTCTTCTAGCTTCTGGCCAAAAATACCTGTGTGAAGAGAGGTAGGACTCAGTTGTGATTCACCAAATGATATGAGGAGCCTTTGTCTTCTCCTGCAACCCATGAGATCTATGGCTCTTCAATGCACGGACAAAAATCCACCGCTCTCTTAAGGATAAATCGTTTCATTTCACATTTGATCCCCTCACAGAAATACGATGGAAGCATATTTTACAACAATGCTATCAAACATTAATTTAAAAGAAAAATTAAAAATAGCCTGTAAATGATTTTTTTTATATACAAAAAGGACAAAATTCATAGAAATACTACAAATAGGATTTTCTGTCACAAAACTGCTGATTCAAAAGTGATGCACATCTCCATTTACTTTGGTTCATGTCTAATTATGTATATAAAATTAAGTAGTTTCCATGTGAGTTTCAATGACATATAAACATTATCTTTACATGCAGAAGGGAAAAGATTTATAAATGTAACTTGGGATTTCATTTGTTCTGAACCAAACCATCAATTACACTTCACCACTTAAGCAAAGATTATTCCTATAATTTACCAGCTGCATTATCACTTCCGCAACTATAAATGGTGTACAAAAAAAAATAAAAAATCATGAAATGAAAGGTGAAATACGTCAGACAAACTGCAGGAAGCTAGCATTTGGCTTTAACATCAGCAGAACACAGAATTATACTGAAAGAATTAACTTCAACCCTGATCTGAGGATATCACTGTGGGCACTGGAAAGACAGTTACTGTTTGGTAATTATTTTCCCTCCATTTCGAGCTGCAGAGCCAGCCATCACTGGTATTATCACAGCAATGTTTAGCATATCATCTGTGATGGAAGCTCTCCCTCGAGACCATTTGTTGACAAGAATTGGGGCTGGAGCATGGCAATTCATTTTCTATATATAGCAGCACAATGAGCAGTTCTAAGGCAGCCCATGATAAGAAACTAAATGCCAAATAACTACCTACACTTGAAAGACTCCTTTTGCAATTACTTATGTCATAAAATGGGGGAGGTGAGGGATAAAAGTGATAAGACAAATTCTGCCCTTCACTGAGCACACAGTTTGTACCAATTTAAAAATACTCAAGAAGAGGAATGGAGTTGTTTTGGTTTTTTTTTCTAAAGGAAGCACAGAATTGAGCTTTCACCCCAAGAATTTCATTCACAGAATTTGCCTCTCGTCCCAAGAACTTAATTCACTCCCAAATTAGCAGACATGAAGCACAAGCTAAGGCAGGATGCAGACTGAAGCATTCTCCAGAGTTACCTTCAGTGCACACGATTTTCCTGCAACAAAAGAAATGATAACTCACGCCTGCCCTTGAAGTGAAAGTTATCATGCATGCGATCCAGGATGTTACAGCAAACTGTCAGTCACCCATCCTGAGGGTCTGGGGTCTGTATTTAACTGCAATTACTTTTATGATAACAGAGAATGACTGGAGAGAATGGATATACCCAGCTAAAGAAGTCCAGAAACTAGGCTGAGATGCAGAGCATCACGTTTTGTGATATTCATGCAGCTCCTATGCGTGGCTGCCAGAAATAGCAGTGGGGAGAGTGGGGGAACAAAATATTACAGTCACATTTCATTAGCCTCCCTTTTTTTTTTCCATGTTGCATAAAAAACAAAAGCCCCAAATTTTCAATTAAATAATGAATTTTTAAAATTTCAGATTGAAAAGCTTAGAAGAATGCTGAATGATGTAAAATATTTGGTGCCCATTAAAGCTCAGCTTCTTCACACTGTCAGATGATATCGTGTTTTCCCACTTCTTTCATTCCTCCCTAATCTCTTGCAAATTCCCTATGGGCATTGCAGGAGGGTTACATAAATTCGGGCTTCCTGTACCTGTCTGACTTAAGGGTTTCTGCTGGTCAGCACAGAGGAAATCCTCAATCCCTCCACTTCCTAAACTCTCTTTCCAAACAAAGTATGATTTAGGATAAGATCCACTGAAAGTTAATTAAGGAATCAGTGTGAATACAGGAACTTGGTGATTTCAAAACCCCTTCTGCATTTGGGATGGCATCCAAGACCTTCATCCAAAGACGTGGCACCTTTAGGGAAATCAGATCAGAAATCACCCCCAAGAAATCTGAAGTTAAATTTCAAAGTCTATGCATTCTGAGATATTGTTAAAAGAAACACATCCTTCCAAAAATAAGCACACATTTACATCCACTGAAATAAGTCTATGTCATTTTTCAGTAATGGGATGATGTGAAAAACTCCACTGACCACCAATTCTTTATCACTTGAGCCTTCTGTGGCACAGTTCAATGGGCAGATGAAAGAAGTGGCACATGACAGCTTCAAAAATGGTTCCCAGACTCTCTGGGCAACCTGTTTCTAAACTTGACTGTCACTGTGAAAAACATTCCTGTTTCGATGCATGTCCAGGGTCTCTAAGCCTTCCCCCCTGCGCTACCACAAGCAGTCCTGCTCTATTCTGACAATATTCTCTTACAACCTGAGAAAGAAATTTTGTTCTACCTGAAAGACTATCCCTTTCCCTGGCAAAACACATGCCATTTCTTTTGCCTGTATCAAAACAGCACATGCCTCAGCTCCCCCACATCTCGGTGCAGAACTTGGCCCTCTTCCTCTGAGTTTGGCCTATGAAAATTGAGTCAGAGCTTCCCTTCAAGAACCCTTCAGAGTTCTTGTTTTGTTCTTGTTTTTGTTTTTAAACAAGAATTTCCAATTCTTTTCAAACAAAATTGATCAACAGAAAATGCAAATACTTCAATTACATGATGTACAATTACGTTGCATATCCACTGACAGTGAAATTAGTACGATAAGCTCTGTCTCATTAGCCATACTTTCTTCTCTTCGTGCTAACATTCCTTTCAATAATGTACATTTTGCAGACCAGATTAGAACCTGTAGAAGAATAAGTTCTCAAACCTACCAGACTGCTTGGAAATTCCTATCTGTAATGACGCCACAGTCAAAACATCATAACTTTATATTAACACATTTTCATTCTGTCTCTTTTTCTTTCTTTCTAGTGTTGGCTTTCAAAACATGTCTAATACACACTGAGTAAAATTAGAGTAAAGGATTTTGTGCTGTGGGAGAAAAAAAAAGCCTACAATGTTATAAGTTGCTGATGCACCCCAACACAAGCTGCAGTATATTTAAAAGATCTGGCAACCACGAAGCATTAAAACATCTGTAAGTTGAGGTAACCAGTATTTTTGAACACACATAGAAAGTAATAACAGATTCACATACTAAAAGCTATATACTTTAATTGAATATAACTAACTTGGATCTGCATTGTAGCAGCAATTCACAGATACTGAAGGAAAAAACCTTTAAAATAAAACAAGCAAAAATCTATAGAATTTAGTGTGACGGAGAAGTGACCAGTGATGTCATTGAAATCCCACTCTTACTAAGTAAAGTGTAAACGCAACTGTTTCTACTACTGGCTGCAGGAAGGTGCTTACAAATTTTGGGACTTTTTCATTCAGACACTTAAAATACTCATAGCTGAGAATGTCCTGGGGTAGAGGCAGAATAACTACAGCAGTTGTCTAGATTTGACAGATTGGATGCAGATCCTACATGACTCTCACAACACAGTTGCATCCCATCTGGTCATGTCCATAATTAGGGTCGCAGGGGTCCATACGCCTCACCCCTCACATCCCAGATTAACCCTCAGAAACTCAGCTCTCTTCCTGTATGAATGGAGATAACACTGTACTTCCCTGGGGGCATGAGGTTCTTCACTCTCTGCTTTGGGAATCCCATATCTAGTTGATGATTTTGACAAGCATGCAGTAACCTGAAGTTAAGATCTCAGCCTCATGGAAAACCAATGGGAAATCACCCTGTTACGTATTTAAGTGCTCCTAAAATCACCATTTACTCTACTCGGTGTTCTCCAATTTGTTTGGCTTTGGCATTTCTCCCAGGCAGGCTTCGCTTGATTTTTAAGTGCAGACTGAACTTCTCCAAAGAAAATATTTTCCTCACCTAATAAATGCAGAACACTGCACCAGGCAGCACTTAGCCACGAAAGGAGTTGGTTGAGATAAGGCTACATAAATATTGACTTGAAGTTGCAGACTTGCTGATGTCTTATGGAAAAAGCACGCTGCTGCCAGGGGCAGAAGTGGCAGAAACATGACAACACTGCTTCCACAGATTTTGTCCTAACTTTTATCTTGTTCAGTATCTTTCTGTTTCATGTTGGGTTTTTTTTACTGTTTACTGTAAAGGCCAGATCATTGCCCCGTAAAGGTTCCTTTTCTTGCATCATCTTTCTCAGCTTCTTATATCACAAGTGACTACTACAGAGATACTGCAGATTGGCAGTTCACAAAGACTAAGATGACAAAGCAAAGACAATGCTCTGATCAAGTGTAGTTACAAACATGCTGTTAACAACTTAGCAGAGGCAAAGCTGAACACTATTAGCTATGCTTTGTAATAGTGGCAACTCCTGTATAGAGAAGCAGTGAAAAGATAGTCCAAATTATGGAGACTACATCATGACCAAAGCCACAGAAATAATTTCACATGGTATTTTTTTTTGAAATGTTTCTACTACTGTAACTAAAGAACAAAAATTCCACGAAGAAAATGAAAGAGCCCTCAATGTTGCAATCCATATCCAAGCTCTTCTAAATCTCAGAGTCTCCAAAATCCAGAAACACAAGTGCTGATCCATGGTTTTGGTTTATCCTAAGGATAGAGTGTCAAGAAAACCTGACATTCAGAATGGCAGCAGCTTGCTTGTCTGCCTCACAACTGGAATATGGCAGCTAAATGTACATGTTTCCAGTTCTGACCAGTCTTTAGATTTAATCAACAGAACTGCTTTTCCAGGGAGGCCCTGGTAGGTCTTAAAGCTACATCCAATTAAGCCAAGATCATGCATAACATCAAAGAGGAAAATCACATGATAGCAAAGGGCACACAGAGTGGTTATTCATTAACCAGAACATTCCCGTGGCAGAAGTTTTGTAAACCTTTTGAAAAACTGGATTTCCAAGCTTCCATAAAGCTTATGAAAGACATTACAATGCTATACCCAAATTCTGTTTATGTCTGCTCAAGAGTTGTGTAAATACTGGGGTATTTTCAACAGTACTTAGAGCGTGTTTTTGAAACACAAGAATGCTGTTAGTCAATGATTTTTGTTTCTACTGAACAAAGTAAGAGGCCACATCTCAAGTCTGCTGATCCGTAAGAAGAAAAGAAAGATAAAAATGGCAGTTCTGGCATCTCACTCCATGCCAACTGCTTGAAAAAACATACCTGCCTCTCCAGCTCCATCACATCATACACTACCTCCACACATTGTGCACCAGAAACAACCTCCTCCTTTCCAAAACAAGCTCATAGTTTAAGGGCCATAGCAACTAGAAAAGGTCAGTAAAGGTCTAAGGAGCTCACCTCAGCTTGGGCTTTGGAAGAGTACTTTAGGTATCCCTCAACTTCAAATTAGTAATTAAATGACACTGAAAATATAGAAAAGATGAGATGGAGGGACTTCAACAGCAAAGTAGGGAATACAGTAACTCTTTGTACAGAGTTTTAAATTGTTGTTTCTCACCAGCTTTCTATTCTGCTGTTCTCCATCACCAAGTGCTGCTCTGAACAGATCAAAGGCAAACAGTATTTCCTTCTTCTCTACAGAGCTTTTTAATGGAAATTCAAACACCAAGACATGGTGATGGCAGAATTTAGTTCCTGCTTGACTCTTTTTCTTACCAACAAGCCTTTTCCCACCCCACATTCAATGTAACACTGGCAGTAGATGAGGTCCTTCTCCTGGAGCTTAGCACGGTTGCACGTCTGATTGCAATTTGTGAAATGTCACCAGGAACTCATCACAGTCAGATCAGGACCCGTACCCCCTTCTCTTGTCATGGCCAATGCACCTTCGGCTCACTCTGGTGCATCTTGAATGCTCTCACGCTGCATGTGGCAGCAAAGCCACCCTTGGTATTCCTTTCTGCACTCATCCTGCATGTCCCCGCAGGAGGTTCCCATGGTGCTACTTAAACAGAGAGCACTTTCCCTGAAACAGGCTTGAGAGACTCCTGGCTCTGTCTCTGTTCAGATGCCACCCACTGAGAGGCTATTTCTCATAACTGAGGTGACCTCCAAACATCTCTGACATTTTGTTTTTCAGGGACTAACACAATGCAGCTTTCATGTGAATTTCCAGCGGAGGTTCCATACCTTGCATCACCAAGGTGATGCATCTCTGCCTCAGTGCACAATATCATGTAGTTCTCCCAGTGACCAGCCAATGGCTCTTCCTGTTCATTTTACTTTCTGCGCTGTGTTGCACAGCTTAGAACCAATCAATCTGCTTTATACTGGTTTGCAGAAGGCTGGTTCTGCCTTCATTTTCACTGAGGTGTACAATCTGCAAATGAAGTTAGAAGAATTCCTGAAGCCAATTCTAAGAGTGGTGTTGTTTGTTTAATTTACCTGTTATAACACTGTAAAGTCCAGTTAACATCCATCTTTCTATTGTATCCAGTAGGACACAGACCTTGTTAAAAATGCACACCAGCATTCTGCAACTCTCTGATCTTGAGGCCACGTGCCAATGTTCTTGACAGTGCATATACATAGGAAAGCAATTGAAATAAATGATGTTTAGAGGAAAGCAAATTAGCAGTGTGACCTCCCTCATCCAATCCTCTGCCCAAAACACTGCAGCTTCACTCAGGATTTTAGACAAGAAGAGTTTGTGTGTCAAAGCAGATGGGGAAATAATAAACAGTTGAAGCTCTGCTTGGAGTGGCTAAAACTGCACCCCAGGGGAAAAAGCAGCTGTCTGCAAAATCATCTGTCCATCCTTTATTAAACTTCCAAACATTTCTCAAATAGTCAAGCGTACAAACAGCACACAGCTCTAATTGACACTGACACCTTGAAACACACCTGCACACTTTGTACAGACATATCCATGTCCTCTTGGACAGCCTCCAGGGGGGGTCAACTCCAGCAATCATGGGAAGCTCTGGCCTCAGAGAGGGAGGTTATGGGGGCAGACAGCTTTCAGTGCCATGCACAATTTCTGTTCCCTCCCTTCCAGCCTCAGCACCATAGCACCTTATCATCACTTGTATCTCTCTCTCTAAAAGTGTGTTTCCCTTCCAGCTGACATATTTTGAAAGACAGCCTCCTCTCTGCCTTCCTCCATACTCTGCTTCTACAAGCGTATGTGCAATGCAGAAAATGGCCTTATAAACCTCTTTGCAGCAGGTGGGAAGGCAAGTGCAGACTGCAGGAGAGCACAGTAAATTGGCAGTGCAGCAGCTGCAGCAGGACAGTGCACTGTAGGGATCCGCTTTAGTCCATCAGAAATCTCTGAATCCAAGGACTTGGTGTTCTGCACATATGTGCGTATTTATCCTGCTCCTTTACTCCCTCTTTCCTCGCCACTCCTCCCACACAGACAAAAATACAAACCTACACTCTTTTTCTTGGAATTTTTCAAGCCAAAGAGGTAGCACTCAGCAACACTCAGCTCCTCTCCCTGCTTTTTGCTCACATGCTCTGCAATAACCTTGTTTCCAGCCACCTCGCTGAGGCGACCCATCCATGGGTTATTCTGTAGAGCAGACAGCATTAGCTGGCCAACTACAAACAAACGAACAAAGAGGAAAATAAATCATTCATGAAATGTCAGCATCTGCACTGTTTCATGCCTTTTGTTTGAGTGTTCTCATCTGCCTGCACACACAGCCCCCGACTTTTGGCATTGCCTGCAATAAGAACACAGGGACAGAGCAGACCTACCTTTACGGAAACTAAAGCACCGCTTAATTTTCCTGTAAGTAGTTTTGGGGAGGAAAGGAGGTGCTGCTAAGGCACCAGGGCTGCGGACTCCAGCATTTCTGTCTTCAGGCATCATACAGGCCGGAGCCCCACGGCCCTGCAGAGATCTTCTTTAGCAGCTGCATCCAGAAACAACACGACTGCTCATCTTCACTGACTGCTGAGGAGTTTTGAAGCAGTATATTTTCCTCTGGAGCAGGAGATGAACAGTCTTCTCACTACCAGAGAGAGCTTGAAGTAATTTTAATGTTCTCTTCCCCGCTTCAATTTGGCTTGGGGGAACAATTTCCTTCCGTCTCTCTGTTTCCTTTCATTTATTTCCTGCGGTGAGACAACCGTCTCTTATACAATGTCACAACAAAAGAGTTTCAGCAGAAAGATCTATCTTCCATTCAGGCTGAAGTGCCAGCACAGAGAGAGAGATGCAGAGTCTCCTTCCTCCTGGCCAGAACAGGAGGCAGAGACTCCAAATTCACAGGACAAGGTCAGTGCTCTGCAGTGTGCAAGGAGAAAGGGGAGAATAATACCCGAAAGGCGACTGAAGGGTCTTCTGGGACGTGATGCTCCTCGCTGGCTCCTATAAGCCCTGCAGCTGAGGAGCAGAAATAGCGGCCCCTTCGCCTTAAAGGCTCTCTGTCCATCACGGATTCCTCTCCAAGCACCTTTTATATCCCTGACGCCGGCATGGGCTTCTCACTCGCTCGCCTTCGAACCACCAGGAGCTCTCGTGGGAGAAGGACGTCAGATGCAGCATGAGTACATCCTTGCCAGCAAGACCCCGTGCTGCTGTGAGGAAGACGTGCCTACACGCGGGGATGCTCCACTCTGCCTCCTGCTCCCACGCCGAGCAATGGTAGCCTGTGCCGCTGCGTGCAGCAGGTGCAGGGAGGAGGGCTGTGCTGCAGCGCAGCTCCCTGCTCTGCCGGATGACTTTGGGCTGACTCGAGGCAGCAGCAGCCTGCGCCCTGGCTCCGCAGGAGCTGCCAGACCCGAGCGCTGCGCTCCTTGCCTCCTCCCTCCCCCGTGGCTGCAGGCTCTGCAGCTCACGCTCAGGCCTTTCCCTTCTGCAAAAATTGCCTTTCTATGTCTAATCAGGAGAGGAATTTCAAGTGCAAACAGGCACTGCATGCCCTGCCTCATTTACATTGCTTTTCCCCGTCAGAATTTTTTTCCACAGTTCCCCAGTGCTCTTCAATAAAAAAAAGCAAAAAAAAAAAACAAACAACAACAAACAAAAAAAAACGACAGGCTGTTTCTGAACACTTTAGTAGGTTCCCACCTCCCTCCACTCATTCCTCCCTTCTAGCACAGGTTAACAAATAACATTGTAATGATACGGTTAATCATCTACAGCAATCCTTGCTCCGGTACCAGGAGTCCTTTCCTACTGCTTTAGGTACTGGGGATTCAGCATGGCTCACAAATATCCATGGAACACACACATGATTTGCTTTCAGCACATTAAAGAACCAGAAAATTCAAGTATGTTGCTTGTGAAAGTGGCACTTGACTTTTACGACAGCAGACTACTGTGCTTTGCCACTAGTGCTGAAATTTAGGCAACAGCTAGAGAACTCTTGATTAATTTACTGTCTGAAATAATTTTATGTACTTGTTGGTGGACAGGCTCCTAAACACCTGAAGCCAAAGGAACCCTTCTGTAACAGGATCAGATTGTTGCAGGCATGACCATGTAGGAAGGAATAATCAAAATATCAGCATGTCCACCCATACGTAACTACAGAACAATTAATAGGGCTTGTTATAACTTGAGGTATGTTACAATATCAAATAAGCAATGATTAATGAAATGGGAGACATCCTATTGCACAGATCTAGCGGTGACAGCTCCCATGACACTGCTATTTCCATGAAACGACAGCCAGACATTCTCCACAATCATTAAACCCAAAATCATTTTCTATCTATTCTCATGTTTTCCAGGAGTTAACTGTTTACTTCCTAGTCCACTTAACTCTGAAATCAAAGATACGCTCAAGATATCCCATAGGGAAAATCAAAGAACATTTTGGTAAATGTGTTAACTACAAGTGAACTTAAACAGTAATTTAAGGACTGCAATCTTCCCTTTCTTTATGAAGATCAGCATGCAAATGCCTCAGTCAGGTACTTCTCTGAGTAATTGGCATTACACGCTCCTATGACAATGAGGGTGTCCTATGAGTTTCCATGGTGGCTGGAAAGATTCCCAGCTGCAAACCAGAAATAGCTTTTGCCCTATAAAAGCAAATGAGGGGCTGATGAAGAAAGCATGGAGTCAGGACTCGGGAGATTTGGTTTCTATTTGTAGCTTTGTCACAGCCTGTGTGTGCAGATTCACCAGATTTCAGCTCCCCACCTCTTCACTCAGTGCTGCAGGACTGCCTTGGCCCACTGTGTGTCACAGAGCAGTTTTATGCAAGTGGAAGCCACATACAGCATGTAGTTAGCTTCTTTCCATGAAAAATGCACTTCTGTTAGGTACTGACAAGTTTATATCGCAGCAGTAGTGTATGCTGCTGTTTGGCTGCAATAGAATCTTAGAATGGTTGGGTTGAAAGGGATCCTGAAGCTCACCTGACCCCAACCCCTTGCTGTTGGCTGATTGCTCACAGCTCAGGCTGCCCAGGGCCCCATCCAACCTGGTCTTGAGCATCTCTAGGATGGGGCATCCACAACTTCCCTAGACAGCAGTGCCAGGACCTTTTGAGTAAAACATTCCCCCAGACAAATAACCTAAATTTACCCGCTTTTAGTTTAAAGATGTCTCCCCTTGTCTTATCACTATCAGACTGTGTAAAAAGTCAGTCCTCCTCCTGCTTATAAGCTCCCATCAAGTACTGGAAGGCTGCAATGATGTCTCTTCACAGCATTCTCTTTTCCAGGTTGAACAAGCCCATCTGATTCAACTTTTCTCCACAGGAAAGGTGTTCCAGCCCTCTGAGCATCTTCATGACTCTCCTCTGGACCCAATCCAACAGTTTTACCCTTTCTACTGCTGGAGTCCCCGGGCCTGGACAATTGTCATTGGCCTTAGCTGTCTCTAGCAACAGAATCACCAACAGATTCTCATAACAAGCACTTGTGAAAAACATGGGCGGTCTTCTACCTGGTGACCAAAGAAACTGCCCTAGTTTTCCCAGAGAAGAGCTAATTTCATAGGCCCATTTTCTGTGACAATATCCCTCTCGTACTGATAAAGTACCATCCCTTCCAGGAGTAGCAGCATCTCTGGCATTTCAATAGAGCCCTCTGCAAAGGAGCATGCCTGATAGATGCACTGTAAGTTAAACCAATGGGCTTGTTCCACTTCTTTTTTTGTTGTTATTGTTTTGTTTAAAGATACTGTTCTTCTCTTCCAACTCTGCCTGTGACTGAGAGAGAACAAAATGCCTCCTACATGCTTTGTGCAGCCGAGAGCCTTGCATGTTCACTCACTGACTCACCTCCTCCAAATGGTGCCCATATAACCCTGCGGATGGACTTCACCCAATCCTCCATGTCATTCTGCGTGCTCGCCATAAGAAGATATGTCTCATGATTAGCTGTCATCCGCTCTCGGTCTCCTCCTGCAAGAGAAGATTGCAGCAACTTTAGAATAACCCTTCTGCTTTCCTGTTAAGCCAGCTCCTGCCAATCTGAGCACTGGAAGGAGTAACAGCAGCTCCATGGCAAGCAGACACTGTACAGTGAAGCGTTTACTGTCAGCCATGGCATGTAGAGAAGGTTCTGTAAGTACACTCCCCATCAGAAAGCGAGAAACTGTAGCACTTCCAAAAGGAAATGAGAGGATAAATATCATCAGTAAACAACCCACGCTGTTCCAAGAGCCATGGGGCCCGCACTAATCTGTAACTTGATATATGCACTGGAAGTGTTGCAGCAGCCACTATACTATGACAGAGAAAATAAATGCAGAGAGAGCTAAGTGTGCTTTGAGCAAGCAGCAAGGACTCTGTTTTTATTTTCAGGGATGCAGCACGTCACATTCATAGCAATGACATTTGATACACCAGAGTGCTGCTGCGACTTTCCAAAGAAGCAGCTGTTACTAGCAGTGAGCACAGCACAACCCACTGCTTTGGATGGGCCTAATGAAGATTAAACTTGAACTTGGAGGCTAAGAGAAACTCATTTTTTTTACAAATTGCAGCTATTCATACAGCATGTATTTCCCCAAACAGCATCCAATGGAGCAATGCAATAACCTGAAGTACAATATATTTTGAAACATACCACTACCTGAAAGCCTGAAAAACACTGCTTTTCTTCCTCAGTCATTGTTAAAGATAGCAGTGAACCTACTTTAAGTGCCAATGCTATAGAAAAAACAGCATGCATATTCTTTTTTGGAATATATTCAGTTACTAGTATAGGAACTGGTACAAAGCATGTGTTGGTTGTTCTGCTCCAACCATGCTCTGAGGGATAAGGATATGAGGAGGAGGAAGCAACCTGACTAAAGCCAGGACAGATCTCACACTCAAAAGCACTGAGTAGGCGTGACATAGTCTACTGAACTCAGCTTATTTGATGAATTTTCATCCTGGAAACACCCAAAAATAGATACACAAACAAAAGGTCTTAATATATTGTCATGTCTATTAAATACAATAGTAGTAAACAAAATACAGAGAAAAAGCCTGCATCACAGCCATGTCGGTTTTTTTCTTTGTTTTGTTCATAAAACTTGTGCTTACACAAACACAAGGAACAACTCCTTTCCTGTGAGGGTAACAAAGCACTGGAACAGGCTGCCCAGAGAGGTTGTGGTTTACTTTTCTGGAGATATTCCTGACCTGCCTGGGGACACTTTCCTGTGCTATCTGCTCTAGGGAACTGCTTTAGAGTTTGGGCTGGGGGATCTCAAGCAGTCCTTTCCAACCCCTACAATTGTGTGATTGTATTGTTGTTTTTTTCCTCTACATAACATTACTGTTACTGCTATAATGGAGAACGAGCAAGAAACATCTCAGAAAATGAGACATCCATTCATACCGTAGATACTGCCATTAAGTGCTTCAACTTGAAAATGGTGCTATCATTTAAGTCCATTAGAGGTATGTATATAGCCTTAATCCTTTCCTGTGGACATGCAAATCGTCATATATTTTACCTGTGTTGTTGTATAGCTCTAAATAGTTTTTCAGGTTCCCCCCTTCCTGCCTTGTCAGACCAAGAGCAAGAAACACAGAATGATGTGGGTTGTGGGCTGCTTATGGCCAATTCAAGGGGCTGGAATACAAACTCAGCTTTGTTTCATCTTTTTCACTATGTTGCAGGTGTTACAGGCATGGAAGGAGCAGAACCCAGTGTACCTGATCAAAGAAGTTGACTCTGACATATTCAAGATGAAAAGCTGCTGTTTACACAATTGATGTGTACATCCTGTTTCTTCCAGCCTCTGGCAGTTGCCAAAAATACATGGAACCCATCTGCTTCTCAAAACAACAATGTAATAACACATTTTTGTTCCTACAGACCTTACCAATCCCTAATCTGTTTTCTTGGCAGCATCAGAAATGAGGTACATTTACTGAATAAATCCACCCAGGATATCCATTCAGAGTGGAAAATGTGAAAGCACACAATGCCATGGTGAAGCTTCCAATTAGGAAAGGTTGGATTTCTCCCTCTACCCGTCCTTCTGCACCAGCAGTGATGTACAGGTTCTCAAATGCCACCTCCTGCCTCCACCAGCAGCTCAGTAACCGGTAAGTACAGACTGCTGCTGCCTTCCTGAGCAGGATCAGCCCCATGCTGAGTGCAGCTCTGTGCAAAGCCAGCACTGCTCTGATATAAGAGAGGAGGTATTTTAAGAACTCCTGCTACCAACCGGAAAAATACAATTAGAAGAGGAAGAGGTCAGCTCCTGCAGAGATCCACTCCACAGGGGAAACGAACAGGAACAGCCTGCATTTGCTCATGCAGCTCCACAACACAATTGGAAGACCAAGTTTAAGGGCGATTGTTTCCTGAAGTGTTGGGCTCAACAGCTCACCTGCTTCTTATCAAATGTGAATTCATTCAGCTT